AAAGAAAATGTACTGTATGATTCCATTTATATAAAGTTTAAAAACAAGAAAAAAATACCTGATGCTAGAAAGTCAAAACAGAGGTTCAACTAGGAGCAGGTGAGTAACTGGAAGGGGATACGAGGAGCTCCTGGAATCCTAGCAATGCTCTGTTTCCTGACACGAGTGTTAGTTATGTATCATTGTTTGTGCAAATTCATTCAGCAGTACATTTTTGATGTTTACAAGGAAAACACTATCACCACATATTTATGAGGTATGAATTATTTGTCTGAGTCAATTCATTCATTCATTCATGCAGTCAACACAAGATACATGCACATATTATGTGTCAGTCACCATGTAAGATGCTGAAGATCTACAGATAAATTTGTTTCTCATGACTCCTGTCCATGAGGTCAAAGTCCAGAAAGGGAGATGAACAGGAAAACTACAATGCAACGTGATTAACGGGTTGGTGGATTAATTAACGTGATTAATGGTTTTGGAGGGAGCTGTGGATGTACAGAGAAGAGAGACATGAGTGGTACACTGAAAAGCTACACACAGAAAGTGACATGTGACCTTGGAACTCCCCCATCCCATGGAATGCAGAGATATTTACCCACTCCACTGTCCTCGATTGTCATAAAAATATAGCCAAAGAGAAAAGGGAATTCCAAGCAGATAGGACAATATATGTACAGGCACAGATTTTGAAAGCCATTTTAAACTCAGAGAAAAGAGAGTGTTTGCTGTGGCTGGACTCCAGGTAGCACTGAGAAGAATGACAGAAGATGAAACTAGAGAGGCCAACTAAGGTTTGATTGTGATGTTTGTATGCCTTCTACTCTGTGTGGATTCTATACCACGAAGAGCCAAAGAACATTGTCTAGCTGAAGATCTACAAGGAAGCCCTCTCACACACGCACACATACCAATGCCTTTGTTAGTCTCCTCCCACAATGAATCTGGTTTAGTCCTTTGAAATCAGAATGTGGCTAAGATGGCACAGTGTGACTTCTGAGGTCACCATAGTGTCTGCTTTGACAACTTATGAGGCTTGTTCCAAGAAAGCCAGTTGCCATTTAAGAAGTACAACTATCTTGAGTCTGCCATGTTGTGAGGAAGGGCAGCATTGAGAGAGACCATGTGCAGACAGCTGTTCCAGACATCCTGAGCGTCAACCCAGTTGAACCTTCAGATGATTCCAGCACCCTCTAATATTTGACTGCAACTGCATGAGAAACTCCAATAGAGAGTGGGCTAGGCTGAGCAAGGTCAACATATAGGACTATAAAAGAGAAAAAAAGGTGGGGTTTTAAAATTGTTATTTGTTTTCTTTTTGTTTTGCTTTGAACTGGTACATTTTGAGGTACTTCATTACATGGTACTAGATAAATTGGAACAGACATCTTGGAATAGCAGTGGGACACAAAGAATTTGGGTTTGTTTTGGGGAACAAAGTCTGGAGGCATCATAGAGAATGGTTTGAAAAAGGCAGAGGCTAAAGGTACTGAGATGGGAGGAGATCTTTATAGGAAGATAAGCAGATATCGATGGAAGTAGGAAAGACGGACTGGAATCTATAGATATTTCTGAGGTAGAATTGACAGAATGTAAAGAATAAATAAATGTGTGGTGGCAAGAAAAGAAAGACCGAAAGTCAGATTTTTTTTTCCCAAAAGGAAGAGGTGGTGGGTCATGCCCTCAATAGAAAGAAAGGCCTATAAATTAGGGTACATAATTAAATGTGTATAGAGGGTGAGGGATTTACAAAGAAATATCAGTAAAGATGACAAAAAAGTTGGAAAGTTTGAGCTAGGACACAGGGAGATTAGGTCAACATACTTGTATATTACATATACACATAGTTAACATGTATGATGGTAGAGATCTCAGAAATGATCTCACTAATACAAAGTGTGCAGGATAAGAGGAGAGGACAAATGGTAGAATTCAGAAAAGAGAACTCAGTGGTCAGGAAAGTTTTCAGTTTGTGCAAAGGCAACTGAAAAGAGTAATAGAAAAAGAAAGAGAAGACTCTTAGAAACAGAGGGACAATAGAAGGTTAGGAAGTATAAGGCTTTCATTGTCAGAAGCTATTGTGAGTTCAAGTAAGATGAGACTGTGGTTCTGACAATTAAAAAGTCATTAAGACTCTCTATGAGACTACTTTTAATAATATGGCTTTGATCAGAGTAGTTTAAGAAGCTGATTGGAGGCTTAAAAAGCAGACTATACATATAAATTACTCTTCAGAGATATTTGGGGTTAAGATAAAGGATGAAGAAAAGTTTGTTTCTCTGAGCATGAAGGTAGGTTAAGGGGGAGCATAAGGGCAGGCTTGCTAGCATGAGTTCTCTGAATCAATGACAGGAGAAGATACAGAGGTCTCTAGAGCAAACTAGTTTATAGGCTTCTGCTTTTCCAAGTGTGGTCACAGAATAGCAGCTTAGGGAATCTACTTAAAAATTCAGAATCTCAGGCCACACCTCAGTGGTAATGAATCAGAATCCATATTTTTAACAAGATCCCAGGTAACTAATATGCACATTAAATTAATATGCTCTGGGGTAGGTCAAAACAGAAATATGGAGGAAGGAAGAAAGACACAGAATATATGCAGACATTATGGCATTTTGGCCATTTTTTTGTTCAATCACTTAGAAATATTTTGATTTTTTTCTGAGATTTAATAAGAGACATTTAGAACAACTTTTTGGTGCTCTCAAATTTGGGGAGTATACAAAAAATTAAGTTTTGTGCTACGAGAAATCATCTCTAGTGAAATTAGAGGAAAAAGTTCTCTCTGTTCAGCTTTCCTCTAGGTAGGATTACCTACAGTGGGGTTGGGGATATTGTCACTGCTTGAGCCTTACTCTCAAATATTCTGCTTTATTTATTAAAAAGTTTTTTAAAGCTCCTTATGTGACTATTATGCAGCCAGGATTGATGATTATTAAAGTAAGGTAACCTTGACTGTATATTAGAATTGCCTGGGAGAGTTTGAAAGCTATCAGATACCTGAGTTCCACCCCAAATGATTTTGATTCAATCAGACTGAGATGAGCCTTAAAAATGACCTATTGATGTTGTCCCTAATCCCAGCCTTTTAAGGCATTCATTTCCTTTACTTTAACAGTTCTCAGCCTTAGCTGCACAGATTATCTAGGGAACTTCAAGAACGACCAATTTCCAGGCACTTCTGTCAAAAAGCCAGATGAAAGGAGGTTCATTTCCCTCTTTTTCCAACTAAACTCTCATAGCATTTACAATCTGAGCTATCCAATAGGTGCAGGACAGGCTGAACTAAGTTGTCTGCAGGGCAGGCTGAACAAACGTTAGCTGCAGGATAACCTACACACCCCCAACCCCCCCACTGTCTGGTTCTTTATCACCTGTTTGCGTCAAGGCTGAACACTCAACCCCACTCAAGGCTGAACACTCGACCCCCACCGGTACGGTGCAACAGAAACCCACATCTGACCCCTGCCCCATCTGCCTGAAGGCAGAAGATGATACCCTTAGCAACTACTGTGTGATCCAATCATTGTACTCCAACAAGGCAACTTGCAGACCCAGAGATTCCATTAGATTTTGGCTATAAAAACTCCCTCCTGCAGGGCCCCTCTCTCTTGCTCTATCTCCCTCTCTTGCTCTTGCTCTGTCTCCCTCTCTTGCTTTTGCTCTCCCTTGCTCTCTCTTTCTTCTTTCTTTCTCTCTTTTTCTCCTCTTTTGCACTGCTTCAATAAAGATCTCTTGGTGGCTCTAAGTGTTCTGATCACTTTTCTTTCATCCAACATAGCACTTATTCAGTCATCAACAACAGCAACCAATAGTGTTTGTTGAGCACTGACTAAGTACACAGGATAGTGCCACACTATTCTTTATTTGTAAAATGTGTATATAGCTCCTCATCCTCCCAGCAAGACAGTCTTTTTGATAGAAGCCATATATTTATACTTGCTTTTTGTTCCCAGTTCCTAGTATAAAATGTTAGTCCTACTCTTTAGTATTTTATCACATCATATATTTAGGTTATAATTAAATAAAAGAGCAATAGCAAAGTCAAAGTATCTGGTTGGGAATAAGTAGGATTTTGGAATGTAATAATGTTTTTATTTCTTGGGAAACACGAAAGTCTGAAGTCTTCCTCAAGATCCACAACATATTTTAAAATGCCCCTCCCCCAGCATTTTGTGGCCTGGAAACCACAAGAGAATCATCTGGTTATTAGTGCAGATTACTGGGTTCCATTTTAGACCTAATATATCAGAATCCTTGTGCATGGGTTCTAGAAATCTATATTTTAAATAACTATCCCACACAATACTAATTGCAGTGTAAAATCTGCACACAGCTGATGAGTAGAGACAAGAATTAATGTGAATAGACTGCTTACTACAAGTTCAATATTTGATGAGCACACACCTTGAGCTGGCACAACGTGGGCACCTGACCACACTGAACTGGAGGAAGACCTTACCCTAGAAGGGTCAACAGGGTCAATTAGCGTACTGGGTGTCTCGCCAATAATCATAATGTAAAGCAATAAACTTAACGAGCTAGGCTTTTCATAGTGCACATCTTTTACCTCTCACATCAACCAGGCAGGACAGGCGTAAGTTACTGTCCCATCTTTACCAAGGGTGAGGGTGAGGCTCTGAGAGTTTGCTTGGGATAGCACCACTGATGAGCCAAGATTCCAACCCCAGAACTAATGCTTTTCTAGAGACCAATTTCTACTTTCATCCTGTTTTGGAGAATTGTTTCAGATGCTCGAACACCTCTAATGAGCAGTCACAGGTCTGTGGTTTTAGTGCAGCGGCTGCGAGTTTTTGTGACAGTGGTGAATCCCCTTTTGAGTTCTTGGGTCTCCCAGGAAGCATCGACGGCGTGGAGACTTCACTTCCCGGCAGGCCCCGAGGCCGCTGATCTCGCGAGGCTTTCGTGGCACTTTCCCTTTGCTCCTCTCTGGCGGAACGACCCGTCCCGCCCCGCGTAAGGGCGCGCGGGATGCTGGGATATGTAGTCTGGCCGGGACTTGGACGCCCCCTCGGATGAATGGGGCCTGGGCTGACTGAGAACTACAGCTCCTCGGCTGGCAGCGTGGGTGGCGGCCTCAGGGGAAGGGGGAACCGCCTCGGCCCCGGGCAAGAGCCGCGCTCCCGGACCGCGGGCATGTCCATTGCCGCCTTCCTGGGGTAGCAGCATAGGCGGGCTCCTCCTCCGCGCTCGCTCCCCTGCCCCCGCACCGGCCATGCGCCCGGCCTTCGCGGTGGGCCTGGTATTCGCAGGCTGCTGCAGTAACGTGATCTTCCTAGAGCTGCTGGCCCGGTGAGTGACCTCTCGGGCCGCACCCGGGCTCCCGGGCTGGTCGGAGGAGAGGCGTCTCTGCGCGCCGCCTGGGGCCGCATCTCTGCCCACTCCCCACCCCGCCTTGAGCGGTGCCGGGGCGGGAATGCATGAGCCCGGTCCCGCGTGGGCAGCCTGGGACCCCTTTGGACCCACCACTCTGTTTCTGGTCCTGCACACTGCCGGCTATCCCGCCTAATAAAGTCTGACAGCATCCCGGTGAGGGGACGGACTGAGGGTGTTGGAGTCGTCACCCAGTTTCCGCACCCTGGGGGTTGGAAGCCTGCGGAGTTTTTTAAGTGACTGGTCCAAGATGGGCAGGGAGCAGATTCCTTCGTCCAGCCACTCTCTCCCCTACTTCCCCTTCAGCTCCAGCTCATTTCTTCGCCCAGTCAGTGGCATATCCCAAGTTGAGCAAAGCGTTCTGACTTACAAAGCGTTCTGGTTTTGTACACACCGCACAGTTTCATCTTTATTATTGGCCCCAGAGTTGCCTGTGACTATTTTGCCCAAACATACATCTCAATGATGTAGAACAGGTAATTATTTATGTGGAAGATCAGTCCAAGTGACCTGAGAGAGCATTTCCAGCTTTATATTATCATAGGTTTTAAATTGGGAAACATGCATTTTGAAAATATAAAATGAGAAAGGCTATGACACTTTCCCAAAGGTTACTAGACTAGCTTTATTGAGGTAGCTAGCAAATAGCGTTGAGAAACAGTGTGCAAAGTTCAGTGGACAGAACTGTTGCTGAAGAGACAACAGGTGGAATGGAAAAGGCTCTGGATTAAAAAGCTCAAAGTTATGAATTTCAGTCTTGACTTTGCCATCCCCTGACTGTGTGCCCTTTTCAAGTCACTTAGCCTCTCTGGGCCTCCTTTCCCCTGTTGTAAAATAATATCTGTGGTGCCATCTAGTTTCCTGTTTCTAAATTCTCCATTTATCTTCCAACTAATCCTGTTGTCAAGAATTCACCGTTTTGCTGACAGTGAATAGGTGGTCTTTCACTACTTGTAAGTGGCAGAGCAAGATCTGTAGTCCAAGATGTCTAAATTCCTAATTTAATACCCTTTTTCACCTTCCAGTTAATTTTGAACTTGAGCAGCAGATAGATCTTGGTCATCCAATTCTTCATGTGATGCCTGCAAAGAGATGTATTTTATTTGAAACCATTGATTAAATCATTCTGAAGCAACCAGTTAAGTTAAACTTTATGAAGAGTTCATTTTTGCTCTTACGGAGCTTAACATTTTATTATACAGCAAGTGCTGATAAAGATCTGTTATTTGTCTTGGGAGTAGGTGGTGAAGGATATGAAAATGAAAAAAAAAAAAAAACCAACACCTGTATCCGGCTATAATCTGATACACTTCAAAGGAAGGCCACTTTGGAAATTGACATATAGTTTATATCTATATTTTTTTAAAATAAAAAAGTGATGTAATTAGGTAGTCCATGGAAGCGAAGGTCAGAAAATAATAGTGCAATATTTATATTATATATGCTGTTAAATTAAATCTTGCCAAAAGGCTGTATGATGCCAGAATATGCTAGCTACTGAAGCCTCTTTTTACTAGTTTGTGAGTCCTTGGCCAAATAACTTGATTCCAAATGACTTGATACCTGCCAAAGAGGGTAATGGTTCCATCAGGCTCACAAGTTTTAAAGGATTAAATGAGATGCATGTAGAAAACTTGAAGCACACTGGTGGTTGACTTCCATTACTCTTAAAATTTTATTTCAATTGTTTTATGAGATGTTCAGAAAAGTTATGGACAAATCTAACTTTATAAAATATTTCCATAGGAGCTTCTATTTAGAATACTTGACTAATTTATAAACAAGTCATCCCTCCTTCTTTTTCTTTTTCTTTTCTTTTTTTGAATATCTGCATTTTTGCATACAACAGTGGGTTTTCATTAAGTGGAGAGAAAGTATATTTGTTAAAATAATCAGTGATATGTGATGTACCAGACCAAATAGCTGCCTTTTCCTAACTTGGTTGGGTAAGTCACAATTTTTGTGACAAATCAGTAAAATAGAACCTACTTAGGCCACATAGTCATTAAGGTCCATTCTAGATATGATCTTGGAATTCACTGCTTTATCTGGGAACATCTCAGTGGAAAGCTCATGAATTTTTTTTAGAGCAGGAGCTGCACTTTTTCATGACTTCTTTATATAACATTTAGGCATCATAGCAAATGGCAAATTTACTCTTAAATGTAAACACTAAAGTTGACCTTTTGGGAAAAAAAGAATTTTTTAAACCGTTTTTCCCAAATTGGGAAATAAATTCAGTTTGTTCTTTCTGATTTGTGTACCTATATTTGGGACCAGTAGTAAAATATAAACATATTGCACTGAGCGGATCCGTAGTAATGAATAAGTACCTGCTTCCCCTCCTTTAAGAAGCTCCTTCCTACCTAGGAAACAAAATATTCAAGTATCAACTAACAAGTTGATAGGCAAGGTATTGTATGTCTTACATTAGGAAAACAATCTGAAACATTTTCTTTTTCCCATTGAATTTTTCAATTAAAGGCCTAATGTTGAATTAAATAAGGAAGTTTTCTGTATCTAGAAAAAGAAAAAATATGAACTATCTGATCAATTCATTCTCTTCAAAGTTGCTTTTTTTAAAAAATAAAAATTTGGATTCTTGCCAAAGAGAATTCAAAGTAAGAGAAGTTGTTGGCAGTTAATGATTATAATTCTTGGGGAGTAAATTTCAAAAGAACAAAAGATTTAGGGAAAGAATTAAGTTTTTACTCAGAAGTTTTTAAGATGAATTACTCCAGTTAAATATATAGAATTCCACTGAGAGATATACAATAATATGTGTTCCTAAAAAGCCAAGTAGATTTAGAAAGAAACTTGAGTTATATGAGTACATTAGGGAGATTTAAAAATTATATGGAAATAGAGACCACAAAAGTAGATTATGAGTTGTCAAAGGACCTGGGGTAAAGAAGAGAGGGCGAGGAGTCACTCATATGCATACAGGATTTCCTCTGGGGAATGTCCTAAAATTAGCTAATGGCAAGGTTGCAAGACTAAAAAGCCACTGTTAAGAAGAAGAATAAGGATATATGCAAACCCTGTTACTTTGCTTTGAGGCCCTGAGAAACTTATTCAGCTCAGCTGTGTGGCCCTCAGTGTCTTGGGCAATAAAATGGGCATGCTACTACTTTAACTCAATAAAATAAAGGTAAAATGAAAACATGATGGCCTTTAAAAAATCATAAGGGGTCTTAGTGATAGAGCCTTTGTGAGGCCCTGGGTGTGAGGGCCTAGGTTTGGCTCCTCAGCCCTTTAACAATAACAAGATATTTTAAAAAATCACCTGGAGAATACACTTGTAAAGTGAATCTTTTTTTAAAAAAAATAAACTACCTTTTAAAAAATCTTTTGTACATATGCTAATATTCTAGATCACTCTTGTTAAAGTGAGCCATTCCTACATTCATTGGCTTATTTGAGTGAAGGCTGTGATTGGGGCTCAAAGATGGGTGGGATACGTCTATCCTCCAACATTCCCACTGTGGCACTGGGTTCTCACTGTCCATACTTCCTCTTTGGCTCCCTAAGCTGCTGTTGTCTTCCAGAGGGCAAGGATCAGTTGTCATTCATATTGGGAACTCCCTCTAAGCTAGCACCTAAATGTGCATAATTGGTTTTTGATAATGTTCATTAACTGACTTGAGCTTTCCACAGAGAGAAGATAGACAGGAAAGCAAGTTTTGAGCTTTTGGGCTCAGTCTTGTGCTTGGCACTTCATTTGTATTTTCTCATTGAATTATCAATATACTAACAATACATCATTTTCATTGAAGACCTTTCAATATGCAAGACCCTAAGCACTGGTCATCACTGGTGGTTCTGTTTGCCTTTGTCACTCTGGCAGGCACTGTGTTAAGTACTTTTTAGGGAGAGGCTCATTTACTCCCAAGATGAGCAACTAATAGGTTCCCATTTTAAAGATGAGAAAACAGGATTTAGATGGTATGTGATGAAAGTGAATCTTGCATGTTAGTCTATACTTTTAACCACTATGGAGCATAGTAGTCTCCAATCCCATGTAAGGGGTCAAGCGTCTTACACATGCATGGCCATATGCACATTCATGCACACTTCAACTCTGGCTGCACATTAGGATCAAGGAAAAATATTTTTTTTAGTACTGAGGATTTAACTCAGGGGCATTTAACCACTGAGTCACATCCCCAGCCCTTTTTATTTTTGAGACAGGATCTTACTAAGTTGCTTAGAGCCTGGTTGCATTGCTGAGGCTGGTTTTGAACTTGCCATCTTCCTGCTGCAGCCTCCCAAGCCACTGGGATTGTAGGCATGCACCACTATGCCCAGCCAAGGAAAACTTTTGAAAGTAGATTCTTAGGGTCCAATCCTAGACCAATGGAATCAGAAGTAGGAGAGTGAGCCTCTTAAGGCACATGGATTTATAAACAGTGGTGGGCTGGAGGGAGTTTGGAAGCACTGTACCATTGACCATCTAGGTTAGAATTCCTTCTTGGGGCTCTCATATATAAGATAGTGGTTTTAATTAGCTTCTTGAATGAGATAATGATCTTACATACTCATTTATGGATTCCTGCCATGCAATGTTTGGCCTTGTCCTTTGCTATGAAAAATGCTGAAAGAGACATTGTTGAATGGCATCTAAAACTGGAGATTTCAAGGAAGCCTTCTTAGGCAGTCCAGCTTAGAGCAGTGACAGGTCTCTTCAGATGGTAAGCCTGACTTGCTGCAAGAATGGCTTATGCCTTAGCTTGTCTATTTTTGTGCCTGATGGATATCTTTAAGAGTTTGTATATCTTGTTTAATATTATGCTACCAATAGAAAATGGAGTTTTGATAAATAGCAATGTATTAATATGTAACAATACAGTTAAATCCTATTCACTGGCTTTAGGTAAATATCTTTAATCAGGATGAAGAGAAGAATATGAAGTGGTGATTAATGGTAGTTAGGGAAATCTAGATGCTATTTACTTGGTACTTTTTCCAGTGATCAAGCAGAGCTGAATAGACAAGCTCAAGAAAAACATTAGCATAGCACGTTACTAGTTTTCAGAATGCCTCCAGCTGGCTGTTAGAAGGAATTTTTCTACTTTGTAAATCTGTTCCCAATGGTCACTGTGGAAGATTCCCCAACTATTACATAGATCACTGAAGAGGATCAATTGAATTCCACAGACATTTCTTGATGCCTAATAGGTTTGAAATGCTGTGTAAGGATTGTGGTGAAAGGAACTACAATAGTCTTTCGCAGTTTTATTGTCTCGGACACTAGAACCCTTTTTAGACATTTTTTCTAAATCACCCCTTCATAGATATACTATATTCTGGTTTATGCACAGGTGTGTTTTACTGTGCCTTATACTTAAAAGGGGTAAGATCCCTCCCCCTTTCCAAGAACTAGTTTTTACCCCCTTGGAGACATATCTAAAATAATGTCCTTATCATCACCTGATCCGATGATTCCCAGTCAGGAGGGTATATAAACATTCCAGGAGAAAATTCAGCCCCTTTCTGTCCTTGGGTTTTGCTACCTGTACTGACTCAGCTCCTGGCGACAGGCCTTTTGGATCTCCACCAGAACATATAACCAGTCTCCTGCCAAGTACCAGGAAAGCTGTGTCACAGTTCTGGCAATGAGTAGGGCAGAGCAAATCTCACTCATGGCCTGCTACACCTGGGGATGAATAAATAAGAAAATTTTACACTTTCTGTGAGGTATAATGCTAAAGGTGTGTGATCCATGGCCTCTGAGAGCCAAGGTAAGGAAAGACAGTGGATAATAGGAATCTATCCTTCCTGCTGTTTTGGAATTATAAATATAAGACTTTAGTGCTCTTTATCTCGGTCTTTGTGCCTTATTTTTCCTTTCTGTTACTCATCACCCAGGAAGCATCCAGGATGTGGGAACATCGTGACATTTGCACAGTTCTTATTTATTGCTGTGGAAGGCTTCCTCTTTGAAGCTGACTTGGGAAGGAAGCCTCCAGCTATCCCAATAAGGTATGACACATAAAAGTCTCTTTGTTTTGGGTCTTTTTAAAAAGTTAGAGAGATGGAACCCATAGAAAAGGAGTATAAGACATTCTTTTCTGAGATATATATCAAAGATATCAGTAGAATAATTCATTTTTTGGGTTTAACACATTGCAAAACTCTGGGGAGTCTATTTTTAGGATAAAATTCCTGCCACAACACTTTACATAACTGTGAGGAAGACAGTAATGTGTGCACTTATGTTTGTGTGTGACTGTCCCTTTCTAAAACTGATTAACTTTGGGGACTATATAGAGGTATACACAATTTTGTAAGTGTACTAAATTCCCCTGAATTGTTCACTTTAAAATGGTCAATATTATGTTACATGAATTTCACCTGAAAATGAATAGCAAGCGAAGTCAGAATTGTTGATGCCAGACCTTTGTCCACTATTCCACACTTGCATAACTGTACTCCTGAGGCCAGGTAGAACCCAGGGCAGTTCTTACAATAAACAGTGTGTTGAAGACTCAGCCTTCTTGATGAGAGACTTGAGTGTTATCCATCCAGTTTTGAGTGTTAGAAGAACGGTGTCACTTAACCCATGGAGAGCAACATTCCCATGTGACTATATCCAGGTACTCAGGTTCACCCTTGTTGCTGTTGTTTTGCAGCATTCCTGAACAGTGCACACAGAAAAACTGGCTGAATTGTGTTATATTAAATATCATACCTTTAAATTTCTTGGTGTGGGATGCTGTTTTAGTCAGCTTTTTTACTGCTGTGACTGAAAGATAGACAAGAACAAATTTAGAGGAGGAAGAATTTATTTGGGGGCTCATAGTTTCAGAGGTCTCAGTCCCTAGACAGCAGGCCCCATTCCTTGGAGCATGAGGTGAGGCAGAACATCATGGTGAAAGAATGTGGTGGAGGAAAGCGGCACAGTGTGCCGATCAGGAAGCAGAGAGAGAGTTCCCTTACCAGGGCGAAATATATACCCAAAAGGCATGACCCACCTCCCCCAGCCACACCCTACTGTTATCCACAGTTAATCCTTACCAAGGAATTAATCACTGGGTGAAGGCTCTCAGAACTCAATCATCTCACCTCAACTTTCTTACCTTGTCTTACACATGAGCTTTGGAGGGACACCCCATATCTAAACCATAACAGATGGTAAATATTCGGAATATATTTCTTTTTTTTTTGCGTTGGCTTTAATATCTTCATAACGCTTCTGTTCCTGCAGGCCAGCATTTACCCTGCACTAGGAGCCCCAGTGACTTTTTACTTCTTTGGCCTTTCCTGCCTCCTCCCACTGTCTCTTCCCATCACCTCAGCCATTTGCGTGGATTAGGAGCGTATTCCGTGTCACCATAACTTTTAAGTATCCAGCTGACTGATCTCCCTTCCGCCCACTTTTGTTTATTCCTGTTTTACTTGTACCATTTCATTGTGGCACTTCTTGCTCAGTGGTTGTCATGATGTTCAGAATGAATTTCAACCTCCCCAGCCTGTCCTTGAGACTCCCATGATCTTCCCCCAACAACCACACTCCCATGTGTGTCCTGTTGGTGATAGCTATTTTATTTTCGGTTGTGAAACCATAATCAAAGTTTTACTCATGTAATTCATCCTCATAAGTGATTTCTAGGCAGTGCTAGGTCAGCAGCCATGTGGAATAATTGAGTTAATTATCCTGAAACACCTTGATGAACTCTTCTTGCCTCCCAAAGGCATCTCTTTAAGACAAGACTGAGAAAATTGTACAAGAAGCCTTGCAAAATCACTAATATATTATATATATAGTATTAAAAGGTTGTGAAGAAACAATGGCTAGTGATTTTGTGTGTATGTGACAGTGTGCTCTACATTCATTGTTAAGCTCCTCAAACTTTCCAGGCTATGTTAATTTAGCCTTGGACTTTACTGCCTATTGTGATGTATAAAGAGCTCCATATCTAACCAGCAATACATAATAGGTTCTTGTCAGAGAAGATAACTTGAAACAACTCTCTGTTGTTATATCTCCACATGTGCAGAGGTAGAAATGGACAACATTTCATGAAGAACATGGAATCACTTATTTACCTTTGCCATGCATTCTTTAGTCAATGATTTTAAATATTTCTCTTATTGAAATTGCTGATGTTCAACCCTTTTTGAATTACAAAAAAAACCATGGCAATTTAATATGGTTTAACCTAATATATATATGAAAGTTATATACAGTGAACCAATACAGTAATATTTATCTATTCACTTCGAAAAAACCTATTGATATCTATTAACATTTTAAAAGTTTAGTTTTAAATGGCCATGTATACTTGAAAAAATAATTTCTTTAAACATATTCAGTAATTCAAACTTTTCCCATGTTAGTCTGACTTTGTATTTTTATACATACATAATATTTGACTTCAGATGATAATAGTGATAGTCTTTTAATGCAAAGGAAACAAATAAAATTCTTTTTAGACTAAAATATAGATTTCCTTCTGTACTTGATTTCTGGAAATAACAGATTCTGTGATTTGCTGTTCTTTCTGTATTTCAGGTACTATGCCGTGATGGTAACCATGTTCTTTACTGTCAGCGTGGTGAACAACTATGCCCTGAATCTCAACATTGCCATGCCCTTGCACATGATATTTAGATCTGTAAGTGCTGCCATGTGCATGTTCCTCTGAAAAGCATAAAAAAGTAGTAGACTGACTATGTAGCAAAAGTAGAAAGGTCTTGTAATAAGTCTTTGGTCTTGGGTATAAGAGAGTAGGTTTATGAATGTGTGAGCAAGGATGGCTTTCACCAGAGAAGGAAGGCAAAAAGAAAGAAATGTGAAAGTGGACAGTTAACTTATTTATTTGAAGTCTAATGGGTGATTATTAAAAAAAAAATTAAAATTTCCCTGGGAATCAGATTTTACCTTCAATTTTCTTCATCTGGTTGATTTTATATTCAAACTTACTATTAATGTTATTTAACTTATTTCTTTTTTATCACTTAGTTTTCTTTTTCTTTTTCTTTTTTTTAAATATATATTTATTTTTAGTTGTAGTTGGATGCCATACCTTTATTTTTTACTTATTTTTATGTGATGCTGAGTATCAAACCCAAGGCCTCGAACATGCTAGGCAAATGCTCCACTGCTGAGCCACAACTCCAGCCTTAGTGGTTTTTTTTTTTTTTTCCCATTAAAAAAAATTACATTTACTTCTGTTACATGAAACAGATACAGATTGAGTATACCTTACCCAAAATGCTTGTGACCACTAGTGTTTCCAGGTTTGCAATATTTGCATATACCTAAAGAGATATTGTAGGTTGTGGAACTCAAGTCTAACCACATAATTTACTTATGTTTCATATGTACCTTATACACATAGTCTAAAGGAAATTTTATACAATACATTTAATGATTTTGTACATGAAACAAGGTTTGGGGCATGGGATTATCTACTTGTGGCATCATGTCAGCACTTAAAAAGTTTTGGATTTTAGAACAGTTCAGATTTTCAGATCAGGAATGCTCAAATTGTACTTCTTTTCTAATTTTTTTTTTCATCAAAAACTTGAGCTAATAAAGGAAAATTTTTGACAAATGGAATTTTTCCCAAAGTAGTACAAGTTTTCTTCTTTTCCTATGTATGGTGGGAGATCCATGTGTGGTTTGTATATAGATAAGAACAGAGTATGCCCAGAAGAGAAGGGAAGACTTCAAGGGTCATGTAGGTAGGATTGCAAAAGAATGCAGGATGGGTGGTGATAACTGGAAGGATAGCATTTCTGGGTGGCCTGAGATTTTTGTGACACTGAATGTGCTATTCCTGAATGTAATTATTAATTATAGTTATTAAGATGAACTTTAACACATAGTAGACTTTAATAAACACTTGCTGATTGATTGACATCTTTCCAGAGAGGGAGAGAGAGATCCTTGTTTGACTTCTTTCATTAAAACTGCAGGTGAGGAGAAGCTTATTAAAAGTCTTAGAAATTAGATGGAAAATTGGACAAAAAGAAGTCTATTAAATCATTTATTCCTATTAGTCATAACTTCTGAGACCAGTTATTGAGAATTGATCATTTTTGTTCTCATTATTAGCTCGTTACTGTTTAACATGAGAGATCGTTGTGCTCTATACTTTTTGCTGCCATAGAACATCTGGACCTTATTCATGTTTATCCATCCTCCTTCATTCCATGTTTCCCATCTTGTACACATTCATATTCATTTTGAGTTGTTTTCTTTCCCTGGTGTTCTAAGACTCTTTTTGTTATTCTTGTTTCCTTTTTATAGGGGTCCCTAATTGCCAACATGATTCTGGGAATTATCATTTTAAAGAAAAGGTAAACAACACACTTTCGTATTTTATGTATAGAAGTGATATGCTAAGCCACCATCCCTGGGCTTATCATCTGGATTCTTTTTCCCTTTGTGGATGTAAGTTTGCTTTTGGCCATCTACCTTTTTTCTTAGTTCTTTTTCTAAAAATGGTGCACAATGATATAGTTTCCTGAGGCAGTTGGCCAGGTGAGTGGGCTTATCTGTGATTTTGGAGTAGTATCTTCTCTGAGTTGATTAACTCTTGTCATGACTAAATCTATGGTACCATATGTACCTATTAAACCAATAGAGCTTCACTGTGTAGTATGGTTACCACTAGTCATCTGTGACTATTTACACTTAACATCTAAATTTAATTTTTATTTATTACACTTATTTTATTTATTACATTTCATTTTAATTTTTTTTAATCCTTCCCTGAAGCTTTTTGCTCGATCACCAAAAATCTGAAAGGGATAATAATGATGCTATTTTAGTTAATGTGAAATGTCGCTATTACTATCGCTCATCGTTCTATAAATTGAAAATTCTCTTTGTCCAACTATGCCAACATTCAAAAGCAACATTTAAGTTATTCAGAAAATTTAAAAATAATACCATCCTCAGAGAATTTAATTTAATCATTTTAATTAATCAATTTAATCATTTTCTGAGCATTGAATGCTGCTACTGGTACCTGATGGTCTGTTCTTCCTCTTTGGTGGTGTGTGTCTTAGGACTCAGGTTTGAGTTCTGTAAAGACAGGGAAAGCCACCGAACCCAGTTAAGACTGGCCAGGCTCCCTATGGACTCTCAAGAGCAGAATGCAGTGTCATGCCTGGTCTGTGTCTGTTTCTATTTTTGTTTCCTGATGCAGCAATCTGTTTATCAACAAACTGTTGGAAACAAATTATTTTAACCACCCCAGAGAAAATGTTTAGAAACCAGTCAGTACCCTGATTCCTTCATGTACCTGCCTGTGTGGACTCTGCTGGAAGGTCACATTTTAGTGATTTGTACTTACATACCCCATTGACTATAAATGTCATTTGGAAATGTGTTTTCCTATGTTTTGTTTTTATTTTGCAGATACAGTATTTTCAAGTATACCTCCATTGCCCTGGTGTCTGCAGGGATTTTTCTTTGCACTTTCATGTCAGCAAAGCAGGTGGTAAGAATCAGCTCACAAATCATTTATATTCACTACTTGCCATTGGGGCCTGGTTACCAGACACTCATTAATAATAAAACAAATTAAAACTTTTGTAATGTAAGGATTTGAGTCTCTGCAAGAGAGGAATGGAGGGAAATGGATAGCATAAATACTTCCCTTGTCTCTCTTGCATGTTGCATGTGATTCTGGTCTCTGTATCTAGTGTATTTTCTTATTTCCTAGACTTCCCAGTCCAGTGTGGGTGAAAATGATGGATTCCAGGCCTTTGCATGGTGGTTACTAGGCAAGTACAGTAATTACAATAAAGCTAATTGCCTCTGAAGTTATGTTTGCTTAGTTTTCTCCTAAGGGAAGTGTTTCTTGGCAAGAAGCTTCAGCTAAAAAAATTATGCCCTGGAAGAGAGGGGATCCTGCATCTCTAAACCTTAGCATTCAAGAAATGAAAAAAAAAAGTCCATATTTGTGGCAGAGTGCTGGACAACATGGATCTATATGTTTCTTGGTTGCCACTGGCCTTGAAAGAAAAGTGTGTCTACTTGCCTGCCTAGCATGCTCTGAGAGCAGCGCGTGGGCTGTCATCCATTTTTTCATGATCCATCTGCTGAGTAAAAGCATCTGCAAAAGAAGGGCACATTAACCAGTTGACTCTTCAAATTTCCAAGGGACCCATTTCTAAATCTTAGATTTATATTCTTCATAGGTTAGCTGTTCCAGATGGCAGTGTTCCCGAATCTAACTGATCATCATAATCTCCTGGGAATTTTTTTTTTCTTAAATACAAGTATCTCTTTGTAGAATTAATTAGAGAACTCCTAGAGAGCCTTGTTCTCACACTGTCTGATTTGGAGGGAAATTCTTTCCAGGTACTTTCAGTAATAACAAGAACAGATTGAGACTGACATCGTGGAAGGGAAGTAGCAATAAAAGACTGTGGTTCTCTTTTCTTTGAATTTTATCCCTTTAGGTTGCTATTCTTAACATAGAAAGATCTGTATGAACTATGAGAAAAATACTTCACCTAATGAGAAAAGTTTGCAAAGGACATGAGTATACAATTCATGGGGAAAATTAATAAATGATAATTTTATGTTAAGCTTCACTAGTTCGTTCATCAAAGAAATGAAAATTAAAACTAAAATACAATACCTTTTTACTTTGTCCTGTCATATTGGCAAAATGATAAATGATTATTTTCATTGCTGCGAGGGTATAGAATGACAAAACCATTTTCATATAAATGATTAGTTTAAATTGACACAGCCTTTCTGGAAAAATATTGTATATTAAGTTTTTAAAATGTCTTCAACCTTTGATTCGGTAATTCCATTTATAAGTTTATTCTAAGGAAATAATCAAAATGTTTAAAGGTTTGTGTACAATGATACATATTGATTTCAGTGATGAGGTAATTGGAAATAATCTAACCATTCTCCCTGAAAGACATTTAAGGGAGAATGGTTAGATTATTTCTAATTAGATTAGATGGTTAGATTATATCCAACCATGTGGTAGAATAATATACAGTCATTAAATCACAATTTTGAAAAAAATTAATGAAGGACTTGAAGAAAAATGTGAGAAAACATCCCAAGAAAAGCAAGATATAAAATCGTGCATGCAATCTCATCCCATCTTAGTATAAAAATATATGCATTAGATATAGAGAGATGTAGAAAATAAAAGGTTAGACGGTGATATTGTGGTTGATTTTTACCTATTTTTAAAATGTTGTACATGTTCTACATTTAGTTTATAATATCCGTAGAACTGTAAACAAGCAATAAATGTTCTTTGAGGAAACACCTGAAAATGAACAAATGCAGGCCGTCTTGTAACCCAGTGTTTGTGTCTTAGGCATCGGGGCACTGACTTTTGCTCTTCTAATGTCAGCAAGGATGGGTATATTCCAAGAGACTCTCTACAAACAATTTGGGAAGCACTCCAAGGAGGCCTTATTTTATAACGTAAGCAACTTCTTATAGGTGGGGAAGGTAGAAATTCCTGCATTATAGTGTGTTATTTCAAGTGAAAGGTGCCATCCTTCTGATGTCATTAAAAAGCCTTGAGACCCAGAGACTGAAGTGCTTTTGTGAGGGAGCTAGTGCACATTCTGAGCCACAGTTGCCTACATAAGACAATCCTTATCAGCCAATGTGAATGAAACATCTGTTAAGCAGGAGCAACCTCCAGGGACAAAGCACCCTAACCTGCAACATTCTTGTAGATGAAATCAAGTTAAAAGCAGTATGGAAATCCTGAAAAGGAAAACCAAGTTCCAAGAGCAACAGGCAAGGGAATTTGTGCAGGCAGACATCTGTGGTGTAGTTTGGGGAGGATGGGGTAGAGAGGCATAAGCCCCCCAGGTGGGTTTTATTCACTTAATAGTTTAATTATTATATGTGCTTTGTTTTGAACTGTCACTTCCTCTAACTTTCCTCCTCTTCTTCCCTCTTCACTATTGAGATACCCTCAGAGCACAGCCAGTCCCTTAAGCTGAGGGTGAGGCAGTTGCCCTCATGCAGGTAGCCAGGGATTCTTTCACGGCTGACTTTTTGTACTGAAGTTGCAACCAAACATTTTGAGATATTTAATTGGAGCCAGGGTACATGGCTGGGAATTTTAAAACTTAAACATTGTGTTTGGTTCATATCTCCAATGCCAGGCATATGGTAACTGCTCAGTGAGTGTTAGGTGTGACTCGTCATTAATGCTGGGCAGAGTGGGGGCTGTTGTCGAGCACCTTTGTCATTGTTGGCCTATCATATCCTTTTCTCTCTTCAGCCCCTTCTTATTTTTACCTTCATTTATTTTCCCCTGATTTTGGATTGTCCGCAAATCTCTTTCCTACTAGCTTTCTGAATTCCCTGAAATCTGCCTCTGTATTCTTTATAATTCTTAGATCCATCGTTTGCTTAACCTTCCCAAAAAAAAAAAAAAAAAAAGGGGCAAAACCCTTTGGAACGGTTTAAAAGTTCCCCCTTCCCTTTTGTTGAGGAAAGGATGCTGGCTCCTTTGCTTTGCTCTGTGCATGATGCCAGATAATGTCAAGTGGAGACACTGAAACATTTAACTTAGTCTAACTTGCTTTTCTTTATATTACTTATCAAACAATTTGTACAACTTTCAATTACTGTTTTGTATGTTCTTGCACTTAACTTTATATGACCCATTTCTTCCCACAGCACGCCCTTCCACTTCCTGGTTTCATCTTCTTGGCCTCTGATATTTATGACCATGCAGTTCTATTCAATAAGTCTGGTGAGTTTAGGATTATATGATAGAATTACATACCAGTTTCTGAGGCAGAGTCTCAGTTTTGCTTTTGATTTGACCATAATTTTTTTCATTATTATTTAAATCATCCGTCCCTTCCAAAACTATCTTCCTCCAACCTTTCAGGAATATAAATGGTACTATTAATTACTAGTTGTAGCAGCAATAGCTTTCTGTAGGCACTTCTCCATTTTTTGCAAATTAAGTAAGAAAATATCTTCACGTTTCTATTTTGCTTTGGAATTTGTGTGTTTGCCTTTGAATCGAGAGGTTTTGGGAATACAAACAACTAGTAGCCACACAGAATAGAGATCTGCACCCTGCAGAGTTGGGCAGCAGTCCAGCTCTCTCTGGTGCTGCTCATCCTTTTCTACTATGAATGGCAGAGCTGCTCATGGATGCAGGCTGCCTTGGTGCCATGCAAGATGGGCGTAGGATGGTGGCAGGGCTTGTTTCCTAGTGACCAGTTAGATAGGCAACAAGAATAAGCAAATTAGTTTCAAGTGTCTACAGTATGAATGTAAAGTGGCCATTTGATTAATTAGCTATAAATTGTCAGTCAACTTAAAGGAAACTACTGTATGATCTGATTATCTGCTAGTGATATCATCTTACAGACAAATGAGCACACAGGGAACAAACGGCATTTAAAATCAGGCTTTATGTTGCATATACCTCGAATGGTAAGTGCATTCTATAGCCTGGCCTTAGGGTCTCATCAGAGCATGAGTTCTAAAATTAGGTCTGCTCTCTGCATGACAGTGTTATAACTGTGTTATCTCTCTCATTTGGCCAAATATATATAAGATATAGGTAATATATATATATATATGATAAAGGTAATAGTATATAAGAAAGTTGGAAAGTTTCTGAATAAGAGAACCACTTCCGATTATTAACAACATAGTTTTGAAGACCTCTGAGAGTCACCTCAGAGCAATAACTCTTGTGGCTGTTATTAACCATTAGAATCAAGGTAGGTAAATTGATGGGAGGTCCAAACCTATTGGCAAGTGAAATAATGCTGCTATTTCTATAATCATTTATTTATATTGCCTTTTTGAAAGATGAAAAGTTTAGCTATCAAAAAGTGATCTTGGGGTTAGGTGTGTAGCCTAGCTAGCATGCTCAAAGCCCTGGGTTTCCAGTACCACAAAAAAAAAAAAGAAAAAGAAAAACTAGTGTGACCATATCCTCTCAATCTTTGCAGAACTCTATCAAGTTCCAGTTGTCGGTGTGACAGTGCCCATCATGTGGTTCTACCTCCTCATGAATGTTATTACTCAGTATCCTTTTGATTTCCTGTATATATATATATATGGTTTCTTCATGTTATTTTGGCATAGAATGTTTATTCTTCTCTTCTAACAGGTGTGGACACATGAGTTTGGTTTTTTCCCTTGATTTCTTCCTGTAGGGAACAGGAAGCAGAGAGACATAGTCAGGGAGTTTCTTTGCAAAGGGCAAAGGGACAGTGGTGCAATGGATCATTAAGTCTCAGGGAGCAGGGAGGAATGCGCTGGTGGAATGAAGGAGCCTGCTGGATAAACACTAGTCTATGGCATGGACAGTTTGTGATTTTTTGCCCGGGCTTTTCTAGTATTCCAAGATATTTCCAATTATCACAAGTACCACGAGCTTTGAAAGAAATTTCAAATTAGTCAAGACTCAGTTTTTTTAAGTAGTCATTTTTAATGACCTTAAGTTCCTTTTAAAATCTGTTAACTCTTTGAAGTAGTGAAACAGTTTGATTTGACCTCAATCCTCTGAAATCCTAAAGTTCCTTTTTGGAGGAGGGTGCACAGAAGCTGAGGACAAGACAAAATAAAGGGAGATGGGATCAACCTTACTGAGAACTTTGCCCTTTTGTTATCTCAGAGGCAACCTTGGTTGTAAACCACAGGAAACATCCAGAATAATAATGGGAGATCTTGAGGTAGTTTCCAACTGAGATCTATAAATGGAATGGCAGAACAGGAACTCTGCAGGATGTTCTGCCGAGGAGGGGGAGGGGCCGTAGAGTGCTGTGGTAGACCCTCCTATTTTCTTAGAAGGTGAAAATTTAAGCCAAGAGCCATGCAGAAGTTCCCCCCACTGGCCTCCCAAGTGCAGTTTACAGAAAATGACCTTAACTCCATTTCAGGTATGTGTGCATCCGGGGCGTGTTCATCCTCACAACAGAGTGTGCCTCCCTCACCGTCACGCTTGTTGTGACTCTACGCAAGTTCGTGAGCCTCATCTTTTCCATCCTGTACTTCCAGAACCCTTTCACTCTGTGGCACTGGCTGGGCACCTTGTTTGTCTTCATTGGGACCTTAATGTACACAGAAGTGTGGAACAATCTAGGAACCACAAAAAGTCAGCAGCAGAAGGCCGACAAGAAGAACTGATGTCTGCCTGGAAGATGACCAGTGTTGTGTGCAGGAGGCCTCCGCCCTTTTGCTTCGGTTAACACTGAATCACCCCCAGGAAGGAACCAGTCATACCCCAGGGATTACTGAGAAGGAGGGGACCGTTTTCCGTTTCTCATGGCCATCCAAACAAAGTGTGTAGACTCTGAATAGACATCCCTTAACCCTAAAATTAGGAAAAAGAGTAGTTCTGTATTATCACACAGATCATTCGTTATTTGTTTTTGTTAACCAGGATATTCAGAACTGTGCTTGTTTGTTAAATTCCAAGTCCCTAGAGCTGTGAGTCTTATATCTGTCATCTCAGACAGGATCATGCCTTTGTTACTGTTCTGACATTCTCTGCCATAATAATCATTTGTTATCCCATCCCCTTTTTCTCCTGCCACCCCCTCCCCCATTCTTCAGCAGCACTTTGCAGTTTGTTAGGTACTCCAGGCACCATCTTCCACTGACCAACTGAGTGGCCCAGCAAACTCTGAGCCCTGGTGACACTGAAGCATACTGGAAGACCCCCTTTACTACATTTTGCTTTTTTTCCCCATACGTAAACACCTGTTGCAGCCCGACAGCGTCTCATGTCTATTTCTCTCAGTGCAAATACCTCTGCTGGTCTTATTATTATAGGATATTTACGGACAGATACCAGGTCAGAGCACAACAAAATGAGTGCTCAGAAAGCTGAAGGCCTGCGCTGTGTGAGCTGGGTTTTCTCTCTGGCGGTTGGATATAAGGAAATAGATAAAACAGCTACCAGTTAATACTATTTAAAAATAATTTATTACCCTTAGTTAACTGATTTTTCAATCCAGGTTGAAACTTTTTTTCAACCTTTATTAAAAGGGCGAATAAACCATTTTATAGAACATTAGACTCATTTAACAGGAGGAGACATCTCTTAAATGCCTTTCTCATTGTCTGTCAGGACTATATAATTTGTGCTTCAGAGAAACATAGTTTGTTTATAAAAATAATTTAGTGTTTAAGATATTCATAACTCTACCCCAAAGCACAAATCAGATGGCAAAGGACACTAGCCAGACCGTGTAAGGTGTGGCGCCTGCGTGCTCCTATAGCAGCTTGCCTGGTATAATAGATGAGTAATAGGAGACGTGGTCTTGGGATTATACTAATACCTGCATATCCTTTACCAAGACTCTGTTACATTATAAATGCTGTCTTTTTTTATTGTTTTTGTAATTTATTTTTTATCCTTGGATCAAACCCAGGCCTTGTCCATATTTTTTACTTTATTTTTCATCCAACTAAACCATGAATACACTTGATGAGTTTATGTCTGTTCTAATGTGTTCAGACACAATCCCAGCAGTCAATGCTTTCTTGTTTTCGTTTTTGTTTTCCCTTTCCCTTCTTCCTACCCAGTTGACTAAAATGAAATGCTGCAGCACTTTAATTTGGTCAGTGCTAGAAGTGAGGAAAGCAAGGACAGCTGAGCTGATCCATGCCACCTGTAAGCCACCTCTTGTAGGAAGATGATGTGGTATTTTTACAGGATTCTAATAAATGTCTTGTGGTCATTTGCTGAGCACGTTCTTCTCATTTTTTTTTTCATTCACTTTCTACTTTCCAGTTTCTTCACTGAAGCCCCTTTCACATGTGTTTTCTACTGAGCAATACTTATAACTGCATATCTATTTATGCCTCTGCCTCTATTTTGGGAGGCCTCTGAGTGTTTTTGTAGATTTTTACAGGGTATTTCTACCTGGGTAGCGTGTATTTTGTTATGCATTCTTATTTTTTTAAGGAAAGGCATCTGTACAGGTGAGAAGCTGGCAAGATATATGATTGTAGATAAGTACAAACTTGAAGGTTAGTGTGGAAATGTTTGCATGCTCAGAGTGGGGCTGAGATCTTGACCAGCAGACAGAGGCTATCTTTGGAAAACAATAGTTTTATTTGGCTCCTTTTACCCTAAACTTTGGCTGGCCTCACTCAACAGGATCAGAATTGTGGAGAGGAGAAGTGAAAACTATTTGACTAGGAATAACCCTCAACCAGTGAATTGGCTTTGGATGTGGGTCTGTTCGCCAGTGGTCCAGTTGGCATTGAACTGAACAAATACACAAATGCACATGGAGAAGAACCACATTATGGACATCCAAAAGCAAGATCCTGAATTTGTTGTAGTTTGTGTGTCTTTGGCCTGGAGCGAATAGAATTATGAGAATTTTGCCATTATTAGATAATCAAAGCATTTTGGTCTCAGTGGCTTTCTGCTAAAAAATGTGACTGACTCTTACTGAAGGCATTTCACTGTTAGATTGAGAGAACTGTCAGTATAGATAAAATGCATTCTGTATTACTCTTGATTGGAGTGATATTTGAAAATGAATATAAGCAGTATTTGTAACCACAGGAACTATTCATAAGCCTTAGAATATGTTAGATATGTCCTTAGAATATGTTGGATGTGTCCAGAGCTGGGACAGGAGCGTGGCCTTCTCAGCCTTGTTGTGTGTTCTTTCTTTCCAGCATCTTCCTCACTGAAGATATTCCAGGGCTGGGAGAGGCCTGTGATCTGATTCACTCCTGTATTGCCAGCCCCTGGCATAGGGTCTGACTTGTATGATATTCATTCATTCAATGAAGGCTTGTTGAGATCTCTTCCTCAAGTTTTGAGAAACAGTTCCTGATGCTTGCTCCACTCTTCAGCTCGTTGGGAAGTAAGACTATAAGGGAAAACATTCCAGAGGTTTGAGCAGAGAAAGGAAGGAGGGATATTGGGAGATTATATAGCACGTAGCCTGCTACCCAGCCTTTTGCTCTCTTGAATGCCTGGTGGTAAGAGGGAGAGCAATATATATCTAGCACCTTACATATCTGGTGCTCAGGAAGAAAGTAAGAAGATACCTAGCAGAGCAGTAAAGGTTGCTGAGGTTTTGAGTGGTTGCCTTGGGTAATCAGCCCCGCCTCACGTCACCTCCCCTGGTGCAGTGTGTATTGGCTGCCACTAGTAGAGCATCTTTATCTGTCTATTCTTGGTGTCATGCTGAGACTTTTCCTGCTTAAACCACTATCCAAAGGCAGGCTGCAAGGGAACCAAGTACAGGAGCAAAAAGAAAGTTTGACCTGCCTTAAAAGAAACAAGGCCCAGAATTAAGAGTCATAATGATTCCTTTGACACACAGAATTATTTATATATTTTAAGATGTAGTGAAGATCCTGTGAACCAAAGAGGGTGGCAGCAGTTATTCCCCTGCATCCTAAAAAAAAAAAAAAAAATCTTTGTCACATTCACAAGTCATTTCATTGCTGTGCTAGTTGCTTTCCTTCCGGAGGATGGCCTCATCCTCCAAAGAGGATGATTAGACCTACACTCTTCCTTATGAACTACAGGGTGGGGAGGGCCAGCAAAGATTTTCTGTGATCAGCCTCTGAGCCCTTCATCGATGTTACATCTTCAGAACAAAGATCAGGGTGGGGGTGGCAGCTGAGTTTGTACAGCAGCCAAAAGACATTAGTGCGTATTCAGACTTGGAGCTGTGTAAATAGCAAACGTCGCTCCCAGCCTTGCCAGCTATTTGAACAGAGAGCTACGGAGGAAAGGGAAAGTTTGTGAATAAAATGTTTTGCCAAACTGAATGAGTCTTTTTACCATCAATTATTGTAAAGGGCCTTTTTTTTTTTTAACCTTCTGAAACAACTCATCAGACATTTGGTTTTTATCTTGGATTGTATGAGCATTGTTTCTTAATAAAAGTGCTACATTTCCTGCAGGTGTTTCCAATCACGATTACTTTTCAAGGGCCCACAGACGCTTTCAAGGACTCTCCAGATTTTACCTTGTAAGGTGGTGGCAGAATTTTTACTGTGAGCCATTGTCAACAGCCTGTCTTCCTAAGGCATTGTGGCACAGCTGGATTGATAAGAGGTCACTTCTCCAGCTACACTTCTGTTTCTGCTTCAGAAATTTCAAGTAGATCAGCCTACTTTTTTGGATTTCTAGAGGTTCACAGTAGTAAGTTTCTTGTAGCCGGTCTCTCCAAACTGCTTTGAGTAGGCCTGTAGGTTGACTTTTATAGTGCAACAGTGGCCAGCTCTATTTTAATATGCCACTATTGCACACAAAAGCCACTCTTAAAGCAGTTTTCCACACCATTTATTTTTAATTATGGTTTACTATAGCCTCCATGTACAGAACAGGAAGAGAGAAAAATAAATGAAACATCTTGCACTAGCTGTAGCAAAATTAAAATTCATCTCTTTTAAGAATTGCAACACACTTATCAGAAGGACAGGGCTGGATGTTCCTAAGCAGCTCTGAGCCTGCAATTACAAGGTGGAATGGTCTCCAATTCTTGAGTCAGGCCTGTTGGGCTTTAAAATGTTACGGATTGCAAGCCTGAAGAAAGGTGAGAGGCCAAGTTATGGCTGAGTTCAACTCTTTAGCAAATTGTGTAATCTCATCAGTGGAGCAGTGATCTGGTATCTGCAACAAAATACTATTGCAGATAATGCAACAATATCTCCACCCAAGATACCTTTCTTTAATAAAAGCTATAAAATGTTGGTGAGTATCAGCAAAGATCCGATTTCTTTGTACTCTTCAAGCACCCATCAAAAATGAGTACAGATCAGTAACTTGAATATGTGTGCATGTCAAAATTTTTCTTTTAAAAAGGAAAAACAAACATCTGGCTATGCAAATATTTGTTAATAATCAAAGCTTTTCAGTGATGTTCTTTATCTTAAAATTAATAAAATCGTCTCATTAAAATTAAGTTATTTTAATGTCTAGTTGTTTCTTAATCAGCACTTCAAGGATCTGGCATATGGCTCCATTATTACATATGACTCCATGATGCACAAATGCATTCTGAAGCTAAATAAGCTTATGATTATAATCACTGGAATTTATTATTTCCTGTAATAGCTCTGAATGAAGCTTACAGCATGAACACACTCCTTTCATGAAGGCCATACATCTGTATTCGTTTCCCAGAATCTTTACCATTGTTAAAATAATCTGGTTCATTCCAGAATTGAATGAAATGATACAGTAATAATAGTAAATATACATTTACTGTGTGCAAGGCGTTTCACTTAATATTAACTTATTTCACCCTTCAAATTCTTGATGTAAGGGAATTATCCTGTTTTATAGATGAGACTGAACACAGAGGAGATACCTAACTTGCTCAGCGGCTCATAAATTCTAGCGCTGGGATTTGAACCTTCAAAGATGATTCCAGAATTTGTAATCACTGTGTGATGCTACCCCTAAAATCTCCTTAATGACACTATGCCATCTTCCTTTCCTTTTCCCTGTGTGGTGTAGGTGTATGTCGAATGTCATTATGAAGTCTTGGATGTATCTTCTTACCATATTGTTTCCAAAGAGCTAGTGAAGAAAAGAAACCCCAGAAAATTGATAGCAAAACGACTCAGAACCAGTTGTGGCTCTTAGATGTTCACATCAGAATGTGAACATTACGCCTGGTAACTGGAGCATGGCTTTCAGGTTAATCAACAATATCAAATGTATAGTATGGAAAGAAATAATTACATCCCAAAGCCTTTATCAATGATTTGCTTAAGTAGCTGTAATTTACAGCATGTTTAAAATATGTCTTTACTGTTCTTGTAGTGTCTCCAAGTTCTGTCCCAGAAAACATTTAAATTCTGTTCTCTTATCTACTTGGATAAATGCCATCTCTAAATTATACTTTGATAATAAACCTTCAATGTTATGCAAGGATAAATCCTTGCGGTGATTCAGTATCTTTGGCACAAATGGGGTTTAATGCATTATCCATTATTCACTAGATTGCCTAATATCCTCCATTCAAACAAGAGTCAATGTTATAGTACTGCTAAAATTTTAGTTCTAGAATGTCTCTGCAGATGTGTTTGCATATATAATCTTGTCACAAAATGAAAACTGTTGACCCTTTTATACAAATTTTATTGGGATTATGTTGAACTGCATGTAGTGGAAACCCAAGCTTAGTCACTTAACCTAATAGTTTATTTTTCACAGGAGGAAGGCAGATTGGGGCTGTTCAGCCACTCAAGGAAGTTGTCAAGGAAAACAAGTGGAAGCTAAAATGGCACATCTGCAAAAGGCCACATGTGTGTGCCCGCTAGTGCCAGGGGAGCAGTCAGATGGCTTCTGCTTCATTTCTGCCTTCCAAATCTCACAAGTACCTGCCATTAGAGGAATCTATCCAAGAACTCTGCTGGTAAAGATTATGGGCAATGTGGATTCCATTTCCAGACCTCTGGTATAGGGAAGATGGGGAAAGAGGTCTGAACCACCAACAGGCTTGCCCCTGTGGCTGGGCTATTGGACAATAATATTTAACTTCCAAGCAAAAAGCTAAAGTTAAAAGCAGCAGGCTTCTACCTAATAGGATACTATAATTTGAGTGGGTCCCCCCAAAGGTTAATCAGTCCCTGGTGTAGCAATGTTGAGGTGGTGGAACCTTTAAAATGTGGGGCCTTTTGGGAGGTGCTTAGGTCATTGAGGGTGCCACACTCAGAAGGGATTAGTGACGTTTTCACTAATTAGTTTCCCAGTTTCTAACCTCTAAAAGTAGAAAAAAAAAGAGCAAGCCTGGCGTTTGAATCTTTCTGGCTTCCTGTCTCACCATATGATCCCTTCTGCATGTGGCCAGTTCCATTTGTTTCTCCTCCATATTATGACACAGCCACGAGAGCCTTGCCAGGACACTGGCACCTTACTCTTGAACCTCCAGAATTATGAGCCACATAAACCTCTTTCCCTTACAAAGTACCAATTTTCAGGTATTTGTTGTAGCAACAGAAAACAGACTAATACATATGATTTGACTATTCCTTTGACTAATGAAAGTGCTATTGTTCTTTCCCTAGAGACCCAATGTCCCTTAGGTCACTATATCCAGCTCTAATTCAGTTGCAACCCCTTTGATTTCCTAAAACCTAAAGCCAAAAGTTTAAAAAGTTAAGCACACTTCTTATATAAAATAGAAAGGGGGATTTGTTGCTGATAATAAAGTCAATTTGCTAATGTTAAAGTACTAATAAATTCATAACACAAGGAATAAATATACATAGTCATTATAGTCCTCATTTCAGCAACTGTTCTTGAGGCCATTGTTAGTATTTATAATGCTCTCACTCCACTTCTCATTCTGTGTTCCCTTATCCTGCCACTCCAGGTGGGCATGGGTCTTGACCTTGTGGAATGACCCAAACCTTCATGCCTGGTGAGTCTAATCTTCTTCCTCTTCCTAGTGGTATTGTCTTCATTGACTTTTGCCTCTAGATATGTAAGTACTGAGAAAGGTACCTGGGGTAGCCTCAATCAAACAGTACTTATCCTCAGAACGTAGCAGGAATCCTATTTTCCCTTGAGAGCCAGGATCGATTCCCCAGCAGTGACCATAATTTTTCTCTTTTCCTGTTGTGTCAGTGGCATAGAAAGCAGATGAGACCAGATGATAATCTCAATTCCCTCCTCAAATGAACCCTCACTGCATTCCTGGGTGATGGATGGTGTTCCTCCCTTGAGAACTGAAGTTTCTAGACAATCAGCAATTCAAGCTGTGGACACGAGAAATAATAGTTTTTCACCTGAGTTATTGGGGGCAGCAGCAAGAAGCCACTTGACTCCTGCCTCCTAATTCTTGGACCCCGTTTTCTCTGTAGGGTGGAAAGTTCCTATCTTTCTGCTGCCGTTGTAGCCATATTTTATAAGGCAGCAAATTTTCATTGACCTTAAGGTTCACCCACATTTAGAAAGAACCTGGCAAACCAGGATACATCAACTTTTGTCAACTTACCAGCATCTTTTTTTTTTCCTGACTGCTACATGAACAAGGCCTCAGGTGTTTGTTACTGGTTTAATACAACCTGAACGGCATAATAAGATCTGGCTTAGCTTAATCCTTCTATAATGTCTTCCTTAAACACTGCTTTCATACGTGCAAATGGAACACACATACATTAGCAGTGTTTCTGCTGCAAATCCTGAAAGCTATATTTTTTTCTCTTGCTTGCTTTCTTTTGTGGGCCCATCTTACGTGTATTAAATCTAGGAAAAGATGTTAGTGAAAGGAGAAAACCAGGTGGGGAAGAAAGAGATGAAAACACTCTCTGACAGTTCACTCCTGTCTTGCAGCTGTGAGAGCTGCGGGTTGGAATGTGTTACTGCTCTCACCAGGCTAATTAATTCTCTCTTTTTAAAAGAGCCACGTCTCCTTCCTTCAATCAGTGTCAACAGCCAATTACAATCTTTCATCACCCAAAGTGTAATAATGCAAATGTTATCAAGAAAGAAAACAGTTGGACTGACAAGATTAGCAATTCGCTCCTTCTTTCTTAATCTTGTAATCGCATGGTACGCAGCAGTTCACAATAATACACACCCAAGTTTGCTGGTAAATTACTCTAGAAAGGCCTAGTGTAAATTCCCCATCATGTCATGGCTACGCTTGGTGCAGAAGCGCATGTCTTCTTGTAGGAGACACGGGATGAATTAAGATCACCTCCTCAGAGAGTTTTCTCCTCCTCCATTATCCACTGCAGACGGTTATTAATTATGTAAAGCGAGGCATACTTGGAGAATACATAACCGTGGCTTGCTTTTCAGGGCTACCGAAATCCGAGACAGCTGACAGTGACAGAAGGTATTTCGCCAATGCTAAGATTAACACTTTGCTGTCATCTGCTGCAAGACAAAAAGCTTCTTGCCTTATGGGGGTCAAGTATTTGTTGATATCACTTGGAATTTGTCCCTAAAGTCTTCTGGAAGCCCAACTTTGTTATCAGTAGTCAAGAATCACACTCCCCACCCAACCACCACCCCTGAGGGTGTGAGTGTTTGAGTCTGCCTTGCAGACCACAAACTGGATTGTGATGGAAATGACACATATAATTGATATTGATATAGAGAAATTGATTTAAAAACTGCTTCTCAGCCCATGTTCTGCCAGGCTAGTGGAGCTCTCAAGCTCCATCTTGGCACAGCCCCTTTATCTCCCTGGGCTGGAACAAAAACCCAGGAGGCTTGTGTGATTTTTAGAAAATGAATGAGGGGTTCTGAATTTCTGCCTGTTCTTAGTTACTGGGCCCCAAAGCCTGGAGACCCTGCAGCTCCAGTGCCTGTCCCTGAAACACTGCCTTGACTTCCCCCTGGGTTCAAACCCTGCAGACAAAAGCACCAGATTGACCAGAGTGGGGCAGTCAAAGCCAGGCAAAGAGCTTTGAGGGAAGAAAAAGGATGGGAAGGAAGGCAGGGACCTTGTTCTCCTGCCGTGGGCAGGAAAGGAGCTGGAGCCTGGTTCAGAGCTCTCTGTCCACCTGGTGTTACTGTCCTAGTTTCCAAGAGGAGTTACCACCACCACCACCACCTCCTCTGTGAAGGAGATGGTGCTGCGTGTGCCCCATGTGACCTGTGGGCTCCCCTGCCTCTGCTGCTGCACCTGCACCCATTCCTTGACTTGAGACCCTAAAGGAGAATTTCTTCTCCGTGAGTGGCCTCAGACTTTCAGTCAATCTTGAAGTTCTTATCAGAGAGCAAGCACATTTCTGTCAGAACCTTCCATCAAGGAACACATCCCCAGTTTCCTACAGTCCCTTTCGTCATTTCTGCCAGGGCATCTCTAGGAAGCCACTCAAGGTGGAAACTGCTACAAGTCCTCCCATTGGGTGCACCTGCACCCATTCCTTGACTCATGACCCTGTAAGGAAATACCACAGAGAAGCAGGATCATCGGGCTCTGCAGTAGCCTCCACT